ATGCATTTGAGTTATGGTGTTGGAGAATATTAAAAGTACCACAGACTGCCAAACAACAAAACAAATCTGTACTGGAAGAAGCACAACCAGAAGCTCCTTAGAAGCCACAATGGCCAGACTTCATCTCTCATACTTCAGACATCTTATGAGGGGCTAGTCACTGGAAAGGATACCATGTTTGGTAAAGTGGAGGATCAGAGAAAGAGAGGAAGACCCCCAATGAGATGGATTAACACAGTGGTGGCAGCAATGGGCTCAGGTTTAGCAACAATTGTGAGGTAGGCTCAGGACCGGGCAGTGTTTCGTTCCTTTGTGCACAGGGTCGCTATGAGTCAGTGCTGCCTCAATGGCACCTAACAAACAACAAGGTCTAGTATTCCTTGGAGATCTACATCCATCTCGGCATCATTCTTCCCCTGAATATAGGAGCTTTACAGGGCAGGAACCCCAGAAGTAAAGGACACATTACTCCAGGGTAGTAGTTGGTCCCTCTCTCAGCTCACTTTCCTCTCTTTTTATATCTCAAAAGCAATGGACTCAAAACACAACCTAATGCTGTAGATTGCATCTGGCCTCATTACCATCATAGACGTGAGGATTTACAACACATAAGACAACTACATCAGATCAGAATTGATCACAGCAGTTCACATCACGGGTTGATTACATCAAATCAGATCTCATCACGGAAGTGATAATTACATGCTAAAACACTGGGAATCCTGGCCCAAATTGACACAAAACCTTAACTATGAGTGGCCCAATGGGATGCAGAAATCATTTAGCAATAGCATTAATCACATGCAAGTAAAATTTTGCTGGAGATAATTAAAAAATGGTGTTTCCAGGTAGCTGCCAGAAATCCACACCAGATTGAGATGACATAGAATGAAGGAGATTTTTGCTGATGTCAGATGGATCTTGACTGAAAGAGATTTGGCAGAAAGATTGCCAGAAAGATGTTTAATTGTGCTTTACTGACTATTCAAAGGCATTCGATTGTGCAGATCATTACAAACTATGGATAACACTGGGAAGAATGGTAATCCCAGAACACTTAATTATGCTCCTCAGGAGCCTGTACATCATTCTAACAGAACTAGGGTACCGAATGGTTTAAAATCAGCGATGGTGTGTGCTGAGCTTGTATCCTTTCACTATACTTACACAATCTGTTTGCTGAACAAATGATCCAGAAAGCTGGATTACATGAAGAATGTGGCATCAGGATTGGAGGAGGATCTATTAACAACCTGCAACAGACAACCCTGCAAGTTGACACAATCTTTCTTGCTGAAAGCAAAACAGACTTTAAATACTTATTGATGAAGATCAAAGACTACAGCCTTCAGTATGGATTGCACTTCAATGTAAAGAAAACAAAAACCCTCACAATTGGACCAACACATAATATCACGATAAAGGGAGGAAAGATTGAAGTTGTCAAAGATTTCATTTTGTTTGGATTCACACTCAACACTAATGGCGGCAGCAGTCAAGAAATCAAATGTTGTATTTTATTTGACAAATCTGCTGCAAAAGACCTTTAAAAAGTGTTAAAGATCAAAGATAGCACTTTGAGGACTAAGGTGTGCATGACCCAAGTCCTTTCCAATCACCTCATATACATGTGAAAGTTGGACAAGGCATTGAGATCTAAAAATAAATCAGTGCATTTGAATTCTGGTGTTGAATTTCCATTAATACTGAAAGTATGATTAGCACTCAATTACTAATATCAAGGCTGTTGGTTCAAACCCACCATCCAGTCTTTGTTGTTGTGAGGGTCCATCGAGTCGGTACCAACTCATAGTGACCCTATGCACAACACTGCCTGATCCAGTCCTTGGAAACACTACATTCAGGGTTGCTTATGAACCAGAACTGACTTAACGACACATCACAACATCTTTCTTATTATTCTACTTTCAGGGTGATTACTTCACCTTCATCTTAACCTGTTGCTGTCTAGTTAACTGCAGTTCATGGTGACCCCATGTTTTGTCAGAGTAGGTGTGCTCCACAGGGTTTTCAATGGATGATTTGTCAGATTAACAGGGCTTTTTCTGAATCTCCTTTGGGTGGACTCAAACTGCCAATGGTTTGGTTAACAGGCAAGTGTGGTAATCATTTGCAGTACCCAGGAACTTTACTAACTTAAAATTTTTTAATTCCTAAAAGCTCTCATTTTAATAACATCTGCTTCATTTCCTATCGTATTAACACAAAGTCTTCAGAAATCTTTTAAACAAGTTTTCACTTATTGTTGTTAAGTGTCATGGAGTCAGTTCTGACCCATAGTGACCCTGTAAAGGGTTTCTGAGGAACGGCTGGTGAATTTAAAGCGCCGATTTTGCGGTCCAGTGCTTTATCCCACAGCGCCACACCAGGGAGGCCTCCTCTCACTTAAGGCACAGTCTTATACCCAAGGGGGCTCCTGGTGTCCTCTGTGGGTTAATGCGCTGAACTGCAAGGACAGTTTGAACTGCAGCTTACCAGCTGCTCCTCGGAAACTCTACACAGGGTTGCTATTGGTCGGAACTGACTCCACGGCACTTAACATATTTAAGAGATTAGAAAACTTGATTTTTAATATTTACCTAGTGTTCCATCAAAATATCAAAATGTAACGAAAATCTGTGTTTTCAATGTTCTTCCTGTAAATAGTGTGTGTGTGGGGTCGAATCAGAGTAGATTGGAGACAGTGCCAATGACCAACGATGAAAGGCTTCTGTAAGGCAGTACTGTGGGAGTGGGGGTGGGGAGGAGGTAGGGCGAGTAAAGGCAGAAGGACTGAGTGAATGTCTGGGAAGGAGGAAAGGGAAAGTCCACAATGAATCTCAGCTTTCTAGTCTGAACAACTATATGAAATGGTGGTTGAGTTCCTCCAAATTAGAATGATATATTTTGAATATATTAAAGTGACTTATCACTGGACCACAAGGTCAGTTTGAATTACAAGGTTAACAGTTCAAACTCACCAGCTGTTCCTTGGAAAGCCTATACAGAATGCCTTGATAGCATTTAACAACACCTACTCTTTAGTCTCAGGTGAGTTAAGCTAGATCAGAGCATCAAGGTATATCTCCCCAGCATTACAGCATTACAGCTGCTGTTCAGAAGCAGCATTTTGTTTTCCATGGCAATATTTTTAATTCAAATGGTATTTTTGTTTTTAATGACGTATAAGCAACGAGGCCCAATCTATATACAAAGATCCATTTCTTTTATTAACATCAGTTAGAGAAATATTTAATAGGAAAGATGGAAAATTAGCAATGAGTAAGAATTAAACTTTCAAAATTATAGATGAAATCCTATGAAGAAAAATTTGCATCAAAATATTATCAGAAAAATATTTTGAAATAAGTTCTCTATTATATTTTCAGTTTTATACACTCTTTGAGTCTCAAAATCAATTTCACAAGCTAATTTCCTTTTTATACTCAATTTACTGTTTAACAAATGAAGTTATAAGTGGTAGCATAATGGTTACAAATTGGGCTGCTAACTTCAAGGTCAGCAGTTCGAGGAAACTATTAGCTGCTCTGTAGGAGAAAGATGAGGCTTTCTGCTCCCATAAAGATTTACAGCTTCAGAAACCCTATATAGGGTTGCTATGAGTTGGAACCAACTCCACAGCGTATAAATAACCAAAAACCAATTACAGATGTAAATGCTCAGTAAATATATTATTTTAGATACTTCTCATTTTATTCCTAAAAAATTATTTTATTTGGAATCATTTAAATATTTCAGTATAATCTATGTATATCAAGCAAACAGGAAGTGTTCAAATTAAAAAAAAAAGTCTGATTTGGCTTTATAAACAGTGAAGGGAATTTAAAATGTAAAAAACTGAGCTTAAAAAAAACAGTCAAATCACATCTTATTACATCTTACCAGCCACCTACTCCTAAAGAATCTATATCAAAGCTATTTCTTTAAACCCAGCGTTTACTAACAGATGGTTTTTAAAAAATGAAGAATGTCATTTTTCTTCCAACTTGCTGATTTTATACTTGATTGATGGCTTTAACAAAATAATTTTAGAATATGTGAAGATGTGAATTAAACCATTCCCAACATGATTTCCAGGCGCTTTTGCTAACTGGCTGGTTTTTACATCTACATTTTAAACGTGTCTACCACAGGTAGTAGACACAAATAACTACCTGGTCTATAAAACCTAAGTAAGCTCTCAATTGAACATCACTGTTTTTTTCTTCTCTTATAAGAATCATTACTGTGAACTCGCACACGCTGGTGCACAGAGGATGCTAATTTCATGGTTTCTTTCTTCAGAAAGGTCTTCTCCGTAGCTCCAGGTTTCCAAAGGAGCAACTGCGCATCTTCTCCCCCAGTCAGCAAAGACTCGTCCTGCATATCCCAACAGAAAGAACGGACTGTTGCATCATGTCCTCCCTGAAGGCTCATCACATAACTTAGTCCTGCTGTGGTACAGCTCAGTAAGCAAATCTTTCCTGTGTTTGTTCCTCCAACAACAAACAATTTGTCCATCTTTTCATGATACAGACCACCAATCAAATAGTCCAAAAGACCTGCTTTCACATTAATTACTTCTCTGACATCCTGGATGTCCAAACGTGTAATTGGTTCATTAGTATCCAGATGATTGAGATCCCACCAGCAAAATCCTTCATCATGTGTCATGCAGTAAATCTGTTTATAATCTTTCCCAGACCAACCAATACAACTTACTGATGAAGTGGAATTGCAGGTTGTAACCAGTGCATCATCTTCATTATCAACACTAATATCAAACACATTTACAAGACCATCGGTTGAACCAGAGACAACCATGTTAGGATTGCTGGGATGGAAGCATACTTGAGTGATGTCATCACTATGTGTCTCTGAGTATGTGCCTAGCGGGTCTCTAATTGTAGACAAATCCTGAGAATTAATTCTTGCGTCCCAAAATACCAACAAGACATCATCATCAACTTTTTCCGTACCAGCACAGATGACATGATTGTTACAGCTGATATCAAAACTGATAAAAACATTGGAAGGGTAACCCTTGAATAGCTGGATGGGTTGTTCACTGGCTAATCGAGCATCCCAACATTTTATGGTGCCATCAGTGCATGCCGAATATACCCTGTCACAGGAATTTGCAAATCTGACTCCATTAAGAAGTCCAGGATGTCCACTAAATTCTCGTACTATGCTTAACCTTTCTTTGTCATATATCCTGATTGATGCATTTGAACATAAAACAGCAACCAAGCTTCCTTTTTCTGCCAGTGCCGTCTTCGATGAGTCTATACCAAGCAGATATGTGGGTTCTTTATTTTCAGAAGAACGTTTAACGATGTGCAGATTAGCAAATTGTTCCTCAATCTTCTCCATATCAAGGGTAGCATCCAAAGGTAGTAAAAATCTGTCAAAAAAAAAAAAAAATTAAAATCAAATTTAAACCAACTTTTTATAAAATTGTAATTAAATAAAAAAAAATTCCCTCTGAGAGTTAGTACAATACATAGGCGATGAAATCTATTGTAGTATTTTCATAATTTCCATAAATGTTTTAACTAAAACCTGGCAGCCTACTTTTCAATTTATTCTTTGTAAGGAGTTTACGATACAAGGGGGCTTCA